AACAAATAAATATCATAATTTAAAACTTGAGGATAGTATTGTGGACATGTTTTCAAGTAATCGCTCGGTCATGTTATTCAGAAAAGCATTCCATAATTACTAGAAAGGAATATCCTATATTGGATGCTTATCATAATACATCAATATAACCTGTCCTTATTTTCATGTAAAGTTTTCCTCTAAAATATTAACAATTACACAAAAATTTTGAACAAATTTTTAATGGAAATATTCAAAAATATCCTTGTAATTCTTCCATACTTAGCGCTCATTTTAACAATACTATTGAGAATTTATGTGATATTATGATACGACGTATGCACACTATCTATTAAATGATTTACACTATGATGTATAGGTTGTAAGTAGCTGAAGACAATCTGTAAAATAAATGAATAAACTTTAATTTTATGGTTGAATTCATGAGACGATTAATGATAGATCACCACGGAAAACCTGGAACCACTGCATGGCCTTTCCGTCCTCACAAGTGCACATTTACGATCCCGTTCTCGGGATTTGAACCCAGGACCACTAGTCTTGTGCGGGAGACATTGATACCGTTAGACGTTGGCTCAACAGTCTGCAGATTAAGCGTTCCCACACGAGACCGAAGGTCCAAGGTTCGAGTCCAGAGAACGGGATCGTGGATACGCACTATGAGGAGTCGCATACTGTAAGGAGGGCCCGTCGGTAGACTCTAGGAAGCCCTAAGAAGCCCAGGAAGAGCCACAGACATTCCATCCAATCACGGCTAGGGGAATGTTCTAGAATGTCGACGTGTGGCTTCCCCATTGGATGGATTAGCATGACCCTTGTGTGCCTATTGGTTGACCTAAATGATGATTTACATTCAGCCAAAAACTATAAATACATGAGATTTCTGTGCTATATTTGACACTGATTTGGGAAATAAACTTCCTACTTACCAGTCTTTGTCTTCTCTCTTTTGCGATGTTGCTGGTTCTATAGTTCAAGTAGTCGAGTAGTTTGCGGCATATTAAGAATCAATGCTCGAGATATAACAACTGGCGACGGGGTTAGCTTATCAATATGTCATTTACCTTTGAACAATTTGAAGCCTTGCTGGAACGTCAAGAGAAACGATTTGAGCAGTTCCAGGTTCGTATCATAAAGACTTTAACGCAGAAATTGAACCTAAGTCAAACTGGTGCTACAGATGATGCTTCCAAATCTAATGTCGACCATATTAATAATTCTATCCATGAGTTTAATTTTGATGGTTCGGCTGGTATTACTTTCGAAACCTGGTTCAAGAAATACAAAGATTTATTCAAGGTCGACCTCGGAAATCTTGATGACGTCGCCAAGGTCAGAATACACTTAAGAAAACTTGGCACGGTTGAACATGAACGCTACAGTAATTTCATTCTTCCAAAGAACCCAAGAGATTTTACTTTTGATGAAACGATTGAGATTTTGTCGCAAATCTTTGCTGAACAGTCGTCCTTATTCAATATTCGTTATCAATGTCTAAAGATAACAAAAGCAGCTGATGATGACTGGGTGAAGCATGCAGGTTTAGTAAATCGTGAGTGTGAACGCTTCAAATTATCAGAAGAAGACGTATTTGCGAAACTTAATGGGGGTAAGTATTTTGCAAAACTAGACCTATCAGAAGAATATTTACAGATTCCAGTAGCGGAAGAGTGCAAAAATTACTTGACAATAAACACTCATAAAGGGTTGTTGCGATATAGTAGACTTCCGTTTGGAGTAAAGACTGCTCCTTCAATCTTTCAATAAGTTATGGATACTATGCTACAAGATATTCCTGATACTGCGTCCTATCTTGACGACATACTAATCATGGGTACAGACTATGCTGACCTGGTGAAGAAGGTAGATATGGTTCTCAGACGCATAGCAGATTTTGGGTTCACATTACGTGCTGAAAAATGTGATTTCTACATGGAACAAGTCTGCTATTCGGGATTCATAATTGATAAAAACGGAAGAAAACCAGATGCCCTTTCAAGACTAATTAGTTCCCGTACAAAACAAGAAGATGAGGTGCTTGTGGCTGCCGTAGATGTTGAGTCCGAGGTTCACACAGTATTAGCAGACGTAGTTTCCGGACTTCCAGTCACATTCAAAGCTATTAAAGGAGCTAGTGAGAAAGATAACATGCTGAAGGTTGTTTGCCGCTGCATACCCAAAAAGTGGCCTTCATCTAGACTACATGGAGAACTCTTGCGATTTTTCCGTCGACGAGATTAAATGACAGTTGTAGATTCCTGCATCATGTTTGGCCACCGTATCGTTATCCCCGGAAATCTTCAAAACCAAGTCCTTAAGCAGTTCCACAGCGGACACCAGGGGATAAGTAAAATGAAGTCGTTAGTTCGAAGCTACACATACTAGCCATCAATGGACCGTGATATAGAGCAAAAGTGTCGCAGTTGTTCGTTCTGTTTAGAGGCCGCAAAGAACCCGAATAAAGCTGAACCTCAACCATGGCCAAAACCAGACGGTCCCTGACAAAGATTACACGCTGATTTTGCCGGCCCAATACAAAGCATAAATTACTTGGTTGTTGTTGACGCTTTCACGAAATGGCCAGAAGTATACGACATGCCGAAAATGACATCAGAGAGTACTATAAGAAAATTGACAGGTTTGTTTGCTTGTTTTGGGGTTCCCGAGATCTTAGCGACTGACAACGGCACCCAGTTCATGTAATCTGTCTTTAAACGGTTTTGCAGTGAAAATGGTATACGGCACCTTCAATCTCCTCCATACCATCCTCAATCCAATGGACAGGCTGAGAGGTTTGTAGATACGATTAAAAGAACTTTGCTTAAGGGGGAAAGAGAGGGTAACCTGGAACAGGTGGTCAGAAGATTCTAAATGACCTACAGAGTCACATCTAACCCGGTGATGCCAGAAGGGAAGTCACCGGCAGAATGTATGTTTGGAAGGAAAATCCGGACGATATTCGAAAGAATATTACCACCCAAGAAAACAACAAAGCCTGTACACGAGTATCCGACGAGCGACCGCAGCTTAAAGGTGGCTGAGAAAGTACTTATAAAGTGGTATCAAGGTGGTCAGAAATGGAAACCAGGAATCATAGAACGGCGTATCGGAAAGGTACTTTATTTAGTCCGGAGTAGGGACGGAAAGTGTATCAGACACATTAATCAGATTAGGAAAGATAATAGAACGGCGACAGATACACGACTACCGTTACACATGCTGGTGGATATAACGCACAAAAGCCCGGAAGAATGCCTCAACCAACCGTGGTTTCTCAAAACTAGTGACAAAGTACAATATCTGCCTATTTATATTAACCATGTTGTATATAGAAAAGTAGTAATGTATTTAATGTTATACTCTGTGAAAGTTAATAATTGCATAGTGGAAAGCTAAAGTCTTACTTGTTGTTTATTCAACATTAAAATTGATTATAATTGCGTCGAACAGTTGTCCACTGTTCATGGTTTTCAATTGTGACTTAATTAAAGTTAGTCTACAATAGAAACTACTTTCAAACAGGAAGTAATCTCAAAACAAGTGTATATATATACATATATATCATAGTTTATTCTTAAAGGTATCTGATATTGTATCCGATTTATTTTATAACAGGATTCCTGTACATTATCAAATTCTTTCAAACTTTCTACATTAACTAATCTCATAAGTAATTAATTATTCATAATTATTAGTTTATATCAATCATTTCTTATTTCAAAAACGGAAAAAGAAAATTCAGATCATAACATTTGACAATTCTCATTTAGCTCTTGTCATCTTGTTGAATGGCTATTCACTTTGATGTTTATACGTTTAAGAATTCCGAAAATTAAGTGTGTTATATAGTAGCGAAGACATAAGTACGGGTAACTTGCAGGACCTACTATTGGACTATCATTCTTATTGTATAACTATTCGGTAACTAGATTATCTAAGCTTTATTTTGACCTATTGATTATTACTATATGATTTACTGTCCCTATGTTATACTCAGTTTTATTGATTATTGTCTCCCACGCTTACAGCCTCATTTGGCTTGGTTTTGTACAAATATAATTTTCTATTTTATGGTATGATGTGGCCTGTCTGTCTGATATATAAACAAAGTATGCTTGAAATAAACGATTCGTATTGCCGAGGCTGCTATTGGTGTTCTGGACTCAAGTGGACGGGTTAGGCGGATAAGGACCGATAAGGACGCTAGATTACTCATACTAATCGAACGTCATTGTCACAGTGTGAAGGTCGTAGAAGTCGTATTCTATTGGTGAACAATTTACGCGAATTACGTCCTTGTTAAATTCGTAAGGTCATAACGAATCAGCGACGACCTTGATCAAGTCATAACAATTGGCTACCGCCTAGGTCAAAAACATAACAAAGTGTAGTATGAACTAGTTTTTTTTTCTTTATTTTTATGTAATTGGGAGACAAAATGAGACTTCATCATATGAAAAATGTATAAATTTTGTGTACTGATGAAGTGTTTCAGCTTCGAGTTCTAAATACTAGATCGTTGGTACACATTGCTGAGGATTTCCATACATTGACGAAATGACTGTCTATTGTTTTTAGGTTTCATTAGTGATTTAACAATTACGGGTTCATTATCTTTATAAAATTCAACAATATTATTAACCCCGTACCAATATAAATACATATTTTCCTTGATTTTAGAAAACACTCAAGTAAATAAAGCTAACTTATAGTGTGCATGCAAACAATACTATAAATCATGAGGAAGATTTTGAGTTTATCGAAATGATTTTGGTGTCAAATTGTTCCTTGAATTAGATAGTCTGATTATTGAACATTTAATATTGTTTTGAGCGACATCAGTAACGTCGGCTTTCTGTAGATGTCTACCTGAATATGGGTTCAGTATGGCTTCCAGTAATATCAAAAACAGATATTTCTTATTCAATTATTGTTTCAGTCTAATTGCATAACAGTGGTTAATTTCACTTATATTTCTTTTCTCTAAACATTTTAAATAGTTAAATTATCATAGTGAAATCAATAGAACAAATGCTGAAAAAATTACTATACGTGAATTAATGCAAATTACACAGCATACTGTAAGTTTTATGCTTTGTTTTCCTTTTCCTCGCTTTGAATTTTGTTGCCATTCACATTTGTTTATCTTTACTTTTTTTCATTTGATACTAATTAAATTGACAATCGATTGATCAGTGAATGGTGTTTTGAATCGAATGTTATCGACGAAGTTGTAATGTGCCCACTAGTCTAGGTGACTTAACATTGCGTGCGTTATATTCAGATAACACGGTGGCTAGAGGTAGTCAACAGGAAACCCTGGGCACAAGTTTCATGCTATTTTGCATTCGTCAACCAGGTGTACATATAATCTTGAGGGAACTGATGCTTCCAAACGGATTCAATCCCGTGTCACTCAACTTCACAGCCAGAGAAGTTACCACTGAGCTATCCGGGTCGCGACTGACCTCCTGTAGTACTGATATGTATTCACAATTGATTGATCACTGGATGTTGATCAGTGTTACGTATGTCAAGCTCTTCTTAGTGCATATCGAATTTTATCGGCCAAGTTGCAATCTGACTCGACACTGCGTGCACTATATAGGGATAGATGAAAATAAATTTACATAGACCCTTCATTAATTGTATTTTACTAATTTTGACAAACATACAAATGTAAATAAAATGAAATTCTTTACATTAAAACCTTAGTGACTGAAATTAAAAGTAATCTAAACATTTCATTCAGCACTCTGATCCTAGTTTCCTCAGGGAATGTAATCAAAAATCGAAATTTGTTTCGATGGACTTAACAAAACTATTATCATTCAATGATTGTTCATTTATATTACAATGTTGACTGTGGAGATTTGGAGGTCTGAATATAAGTAATATAGTTAATTGGTATTTAATTTTTAATCAATACGTCCTCCGATTTCGATTAATTGCAATTCATCTAGTCTATTTATTTGAGTTTGTTTATGAATATAGAGAATTTGTTATTAATAATGACATTGAATCAGATGATTGTCTCGCTATACCATAAATGAATTGAAGTTCAAATAGAATAATAAAACATTCATTAGATAAACTTTACTATTATACATGACTTCCTACATACATGATAATGATAAGTAGTTACGCCTCTTGTAAGTCATTCGTTACATTCAAAAATTAGAAATAGTAAATTTTAGATATATAAAACACTCCATGAAGATTATTCGGTTAGACGATAGCTAATATAACTTTGTGATGTAGACTGAGCAACTTTTGAAATCCACAAATCATGAAACCGTTATTTTACATAAGTTTACAATGTGTAGTCCCTACTTTATTGGAAGTCAAACTCAGTTCCTTTTTATTCTCTCAGTCAATGGTTGACCTTTTCATTTAATTTTTAACAGATTTAACTTCAGTAAAATCTAAATAATGAACAACTGTCACTCACTTTAGTCAATGGTAAGTCCATGGTGGAACACAGCCTGCCACAATATCTAGGCGAAATTTGCTGGATTACTAATGAAGGTAGTTACAAATATATGGTGAATTCCATATAACAAAAATGTTAAAACATTTTTTTCAAAAATTCCAAAAAATTGTCTCATCTAAAATCTTTTAAACGCCAATCGTAAACTGACGATATCCAATATTTATACTGATCAGTAATAAAGTTCTTTTAGAATAATAATAGCTCCCAAATGCCCTGGTACAGCCGAGAGTGATGAGAATCCACTCTCCCTCTGCAAATGCTCTCATATGGACACGCCTATATAACCTCTGACAGGGAAGTCCTACTCACTACCTTCTCGTGACACTAATGTTTTTACGAAATTGAGAGGATGAAAAGCGAATGTCCGGCGCTATAACCGGGCTGGTGGACACAGTGAGTCCACCTAAGGGGGTTGAAAAACCCTGATTCCAAACCAATGGTGCACATGGGCTCCAGTATCCTGAGGAAACAAATGATGTATGGATCAATCGTTGGTCACTGAGTACCATGGGACTGCATCTCCTTACGATGCTCCACTTCCTTGTGGATCAGATCTTTAAGTGAAAGGCTCCGGGTGTGGGCCCCTAATAAAACCACTTGCTTCAGTTTAGGCACCCGGTCAGTATCACAGCCCTCACACAAATCGAATCAGATTTGTGTGGCGCATATGTATCTGGTGCCGCTTTGTACCAATATTTATGTGTTTAAATAATAAATAAATAAGGCTAATTATAACATGATATGCATCAATCTTTAGTTTAAAATAATGGATTAAATTAGATCAGAAATTTTTTGTTTAATTAATGTAGAAATTTTAAAAAAAATAATCATTATAATTAGATTTATTTGTGTACTATATTCTATGCATCAATGCTAGGTGAATAAACAATATTTACGCTTATAGATATCGATTATCAAGGTTGAACTTGATAGTTTCCAATGAGTTGAACATTCGATAGATAGTTAATAATAAATATATTGTTTTTATATCCCAAAGAGTAGAAAAATTGTATTTCTGACGAGGGGAGTAACCGTTGGGATCTTTAGTATCGTCGATCGTTGCAAATTTATGTCCCACATTGAGACGATCATCTTTGCCAGTACCATCAGACCATGCATCTGGCTCAGATATGTAGATGACACATTTGTCACTATTAAAAAGACTCTTCTTAGGAATTTATCCAAACACATAAGCACGCTCTCAAAATAAATCAAATTTTTTTCGAAAAGGATGATGAACATAGTGAACTACCATTCGTAGACTGTTTAGTTAAAAGTGATTCCAATGAAAGTCTAGATCTAGCCATATATCAATGACCGACACATTAAAACCAGCATATTGATTTTAACTTTGTACATCCATTCAGTGCGCAAGTCTCCTTAGTCCTAAATGTCTTTAGAAGAGCAATCAAAATCAATACCTCAGAAAAAGACAACCTGAAAGAAAAGGAGAATATAATTAACATCCTACTTTCTAATCATTTTCCTAAAAATATTATTAAAAACATAATAAGACAAAACAATCCCAATGAAAGACCTTAGATTGGTACAGTATTTTTACCTTACCGCCAAGGTGCAACAGAAGAATTTAAACGGATATTAAAAACTGACAAAATTGAAGCATTCTATAAGACAACTTACACCTTAGGAAACACTTTAGTTAGAATTAAAGATAAAATTTCGTCCACTTCTACTCAAAATCTTGTCTACATATTAGACTGTGTCGATTGTGATGCATTCTATATTGGAAAGTCTTCCCGTGAGATCTCGACTCTTGCCAAGAAACATTTAGGTTATACAAAAAGACCTCCTAATAATCTTGTAGAATTTGGAAATTTTCAGGTTTCAATCCACATGCTTTTTTCAATAATCACCAAATTGCTAGTAAAAATATCAAAATAATTCGGAAAGGTTTCTCCAACCATTAAAAAGTAGTGGGTAGTCCAAGTGTTTCACAAAATGCCCTCTGCTCTCAGTAGGAAAGAAAGTCTGACTATTTACCTAAACTGAACTGTTTATTCAAACAACCACATTTGACATTATCTATTTTCCACACAATCTCCACACACACACACACCTAATTTCAATCCCACAAATCCATATAACAAATACATTCATTTTCATACCCACATTCTGGCTCATAAACTAATACAGTGACAGGTCATACAAATTCACATTGACCAAAAATACTTTGGCATTGACATGATCGGACCTATTATGAATTTTACTGTACTAAAAGTATACTGCAACTCCGCCTGTAGCTCCTCCAGGGGCTACTGCCGGTCCCAAGCCCGGGTAAAGGAGGAGGGTTGGGCATGGGGTTAGCGACCCCATCCCGTAGAAAATCAACTCGCTAAAAAAACGCTAACCAGAAAAATTCATTCAAACCATTCAAACTCTGCCCTGGGAGTAGAAGGAATAATTATGACGTCTCATGATGAAAGCCGAGTTCCTTCGGAAGTCATGAGGCCGATGCACCTTCTTACAACCAGAGCGACAATTTTTATAGGTACATGGAATGTCCGGACAATGTGGGAGACCGGCAGAGTCTTCCAAATTTCTGCGGAAATGAGGAAATACAACCTGGAAGTGCTTGAAATCAGTGAAACACATTGGACGCAGGTTGGACAACAACGACTGTCTTCAGGGGAACTTCTGTTATACTCCGGTCATGAAGAAGAAAATGCCCCACATACACAAGGAGTGGCACTGATGCTGTCTAGAAAAGCACAAAATGCACTTATAGGATGGGAATCTCATGGACCGAGGATCATCAAAGCCTCCTTCAGAACAAAGAGAGAGGGCATTACAATGAACATCATCCAATGCTATGCGCCGACCAACGACTACGATGAAGACGCTAAAAACCAATTCTACGATAGGCTGCAGTCAATCTTTGAGAAGTGCCCAACCAAGGACCTGACCATTCTAATGGGAGATTTCAATGCCAAGGTTGGAAAGGACAACACTGGATACGAAGACGTCATGGGACAACATGGACTGGGAGGAAGGAACGAAAACGGTGAGAGATTTGCAAACCTATGTGCCTTCAATAAACTGGTCATAGGTGGCACCATATTCCCACACAAAAACATACACAAAGCCACTTGGATTTCACCGGATCACACTACACAGAATCAAATCGACCATGTCTGCATCAACAAAAAGTTCAGGAGGACGATGGAGGATGTGAGAACCAGGAGAGGAGCTGATATAGCATCCGATCACCATTTGCTGGTCGCCAAGATCAAACTAAAACTCAAGAAGCACTGGACAATGGCGCGGACAACATCACAAAAGTTTAACACGGCCTTTCTTCGAGATGCTGACAAACTCAACGAATTTAACATAGCCCTCAGCAACAGGTTCCAGGCCTTTCATAACCTACTCAATGAAGAGGGAACCACCATGGAGAGCAGCTGGAAAGGTATCAAGGAGGCAATCGTTTCAACATGTCAGGAGGTTCTGGGCCAAAAGAAGCACCATCACAAGGAATGGATCACTGTTGGTACACTGGATAAAATTGAAGCAAGGAGGAACAAGAAGGTAGCAATCAATATCAGCCGAACAAGAGCAGAAAAAGCCAAG